ATTATGACTTTATTTTTTTTCGACTTTAATGTCATAATATTATGACTTTATTTTTTTTCGACTTTAATGTCATAATATTATGACTTTATTCTCATAATAGTATGACTTTATTCTCGTAAAATTATGACTTTAATCTTGTAATATTATGACTTTAATCTCGAAATAATAATAAAAAAATCTTGTTGTGTGGCCTTAATACTCCGTCGTAGCACTCTGTCGTCCCATTCGGCTCAGTACTTTTCTCTTCCCAGTAGGGGATGGTTGCTTGCAGTGCAAGCAGTCATCTGGCCTAACTTCCTTCATGGTCAAGCTGGCGAACTACATATATCATGGCCAGTTGTTATGGATTAGGTAAAATCAGATCAAATCAATTTAAATTTTGACAGAGACCACGCCTCCAGCAACCAATCGCTTCTCAATAGCTGTGGTTCCAGACCCTCATACAAAGCAAAGCGTAGAACAAGGGGCTGATTTTTACCATGCTTGGAAACCATAAACTCATATGTAGAAAAGTAGAAAAAAAGTTAATTTCTCCCCACAATACGAAGATGAGGGGCTTTATAGGAAACTACTATCAGTTCTACAGACACTGAACTAAAATTCAATGTTTAAATCAGTGTTTTAGTAGCTAACAGTCATTCCCATCACATTCTCTAAGAGCTAATGATAAACATACTTAATCAAAAGATGAACATCCAAGGTATCAGGCAGAATGCATTTCTTAAGGAATGCTATTTTTAAATTATCCTGGAAATCTGGACCTTTGACCATAATGGATAAACTAGCTCATGCACATTATATTTGTGTGAAATCTCTTAGTCATAGTTGGGTTTTGCATGATAGCCAGCAGAGATCTGCAATACTTCATACTGTATATATAGTGTCAAACACATGGATCTGCTTCCTCAACATCAGTCCAAAGCCACAGCAAAAAAAAAAAAACACCTTTTGCACATAGAAAACATTTTCTTGAGTCAGCACTAACTTAAATCCTGTAATACCTTATCCTCATGAACACCATAAACTGCACTGTAATCCATGCACAGTGGTAACATGTCTACATTGGAGCCAATACATTTCAGCTGCAAAGAGCAGAAGGCTTCTCCGTCTAACTTCTCAGTCTGCCTGGTTCCTCCTCTAAATGTGGTGCTGACYTTCCTGGGAACAAGGTCAGGGATATCTATTGACCTGTCAGCCTCTTATTGACTGAGATTCATCTCTTGCCTGTGAAATGTCCCTCTTATGTTGACAATCTATTGACCCGCCAGGATGCAGAGCCTGCGTCGGTCACGGTTATGGGG